CGTTCTCAAGATTTGAAAAGTTCGGGGGTTGGCATCCCTGATATTTTCAATGTTATGTTTTTATGATATTTAAAAGAATAAAGATTATTATCATTATTAAGTGATCAGAATTATTGTTGTATGTTAATTAGTAACGGTCATTCAAATTTAGGTTAGGTGTGCCTGCCACAATCCTTCTGTTGAAATGTCCAATCACATGTAATACATTATCGGGATTGTCTTTGGATCGAGTGCCGTTTGAATCATCCCTTCCTSGTGAATAAGTAATGAGAGGATATTAGGTGTAATGCTCCCTCATTAGATTGCTTTCGATTAACGCGTTGTTATCTGATAATGTGAAAATAGCTCTCTAATAACTGGAAAGATTTTTTTAAAGGGCGATCGCGGTGATTCGAACCCATAGTGCCATGCATTGCCTAATCCTGCATTTCCCTAAACCTAACCACATAACGCCATGAGATTGCTTTATTAGCATATAAGTGGTAGTGTGTGCCMTTGGTCCTCTTGTTAAATGGTGGATCTCGGCACAAGCACATCAAAGTCACGTGATTACACAGGGTTACCAATAATATCAGTACATGTCCAGTTTAAGATACAATGCCAATACACAATATGACAACTTTCAGATTTCTTGGGTCAATCTTTGAAGTTGATTTGCTTTTACATCTTGTAGACAGAGCGTTGTGCGCAGTAGTTGTGGATCCAGGAAGTAATGGGGGGATGTAAACTCACTATTAGATAGGGTGACACTACGTGCTATGTAAACAAAACCCGCGAAATAAATAGAGTAGGTTCACCCTAAGGTTGGGTGACTCTCCTAGTGGGTTAACCCTATCTCCATGTTGTTGTGATCTTCTACATAGTACCATTTAGTTCATAGTTTATTTTCAATAGTGTTTATTGTTTATTATACTTTGTCATGTAAATTATTCTAAGTAACTTCTAAAAATAAATGAGTCCTCTGCGTTTACTAGTGATATTTTTAATACCGAGATTTCGGCCTAAGCGGCCAATATCAAGGTAGAGTACTATATTCTAAGTAAGTTGTGCAAACCAGATAAAGCAACGCAGAACAAAGCTTGAGAAGAGAATACACTGATCGTCGTGGTGAATGGAACTGCTCTAGGAACCCCTTCTAGACGAAAGAATCCGTATTCAACTTAAACTCCTTCATACGAAACTAATGTACAATACTAGGGCTACTAAAAGGCTCATCCAAAGTCGAGACTTACGAAGCATTGAAACTGATTCATGACGAAATTAAAGTCCCTATAAACCCTTTAGGGATTATTGGTTATTTTGATTGGCTTTATATAGTAGGTGAACGAATCGAAAAAAATGTTCGATTGTATACATATTCTTTGAGATATAGCGCTTCAAAGTCGGCCTTGCGGACACGCCCAAACGATTTGGCCGGGCGCGCGAGAGGTCTGGTACCTCAGAAGGCTCTGACGTCACAGCAAGAACACGTGATCGGAGTTTTCAAGAAGTAAACACAGCGTTCAAGATTTTAATGATCTTCAGACGTCGAAAATCAAGCGTGTTTATACGGCGAAGAGCCTTGAGCGGAAGRAGAATGGCTACAGGAATATAATTGAGAAATATAGCAGGAAAAAAAACTAATAGTAGAGCCTTCATGGAGTTAAATGTGCAAAATTCTCTTAATTTTCTATAGTTACTGTTGACTACGTCCATGATATGATTATGAAGTCGAAGACGAAGACCTGCAACCTTGCTATACCAACCAAAGTTGTCAAACAATCTATTGGTGTTTTGGCTACTCCTATTACCAACATCATCAACTCTTCGTTGTCTTCAGGTGTCTTTCCAACAGTGCTAAAGAAAGGCCTTATCCATCCTTTGATCAAGAAACCGGATCTTGATTGTGAGCTATCGTCCTGTAACTAACATTGCTTTTCTTTCTAAAACACTTGAAAGAGTCGTAGCTGCCCAAGAAATTAACTACTTGGTCTGCAATGGATTTTTAGCGAAATTTCAATCGGCCTACAGAAGCTTTCACAGCACAGAGACAGCTTTACTGTGGGTCTTTAATGATATATTTACTGCCATCGATAGTCACAATGAAGTTGTTTTGGTTCAGCTGGCATTTGACACTATTGATCACTGCTTACTACTATCACGACTTCATCACAGATTTGGATTTACAGGAACAGTGCTTGAGTGGTTTAAATCCTATCTTAATGGGAGAACTCAACAAGTTGCAATTAAGAACTGCCTCTCATCAGGAAAAGCACTTCGTTACGGTGTTCCTCAGGGATCAGTTCTGGGCCCGCTCTTATTTTCTTTATTCTTCTCGCCTCTCGACCTTATATTGGCGCATGGTTTAAGGGTGATGACCTATGCTGATGACACGCAGTTATACATCTCTATTGATTCAATAGAAGATCGTCCAACAGAGTTGAAAAAACTTGAACTGTGTGTTAATGATATCCTAATTTGGTGTTCCTCCAACGGCCTSGCATGTAACCCTGATAAGACTGAAATTGTACATCTTACATCTCGGTTCCTAAAGTACGACCCTATTTCTCACGTAGGCATCGATGGATTAAACATACGGCTCACACAAGAAGCTAGAAACTTTGGCGTTACTATTGACAAGCATTTACAGCTAACAATGCATATCAATAATATCTGCAAGTCCGCCTATCACTCTATCAGGAATATTGGCAAGATTAGAAAATTCCTGGACAGAAATAACTTAGAGCGCGTGGTACAGGCATTCATCACRTCGAAACTTAGCTCATGTAACAGCTTGCTGTCAGGTTTGCCGACTAAGGAAATCGAAAAACTGCAACGTGTCCATAACTGGAGTTCGACAGATCACATTACACCTATAATGATTTTTTTATTTTTATTTTATTAGCTTCGCCAAGAATAACATCTGTAAATACATGAGTACATAACATAAATAAATAACATGCAAACACAATAATAAGAAAGTGGCAGGGACACCGCAACAGCAGAGCCAATTACAGCGGGCCCAAGGTAAAACGATTAAAAGACAAGAACAATAAAATTACATACAGCAAGATATTCTTACGTTAAGGGGACGGGCAGAATTACATTTTAAACAGATAGTCTTAAAGGTTCTTGGATTATAAGGGTCATAGGAAATATAGAGACTGTCCAGATAATAATTATACAGTGCAGATTTAAAGGAGCTCAAGCTTAAAGTATCAAAGTTTAAAAGACTAACTAGTGTGTTCCATACACGACAGGATCGAATGAAAAATGACTTTTGATATGTACTTGTTTTACAGTTTTTAGGAACAAATTTGGTAAGATTGTTAGAGTAGCGCGTAGGTCTTGCAACACGTTTAATTGGAAGAACAGAGCCGTGAAGAGAAACCAAGTTATGTGTGGCCTTGAAGAAGAAAACCAGGTCCAACAGTTCATGCCTGCCAATAGGTAACCGGAAGAAGATTTAATGATAGGAGTCGCTGCTTATATTCTATAGATGTTGAGAAGGGCAAGCGTAAGATGAACTTAGAGGCCCGTCTTTGGATCGATTCGACCTTCGAGATTAGTTCTATAGATTGGGGCGCCCACACCTGGGTGGCATAACCAATGTGTGGACGTACCAGGCCAAGGTATAGAGTGCGTCTCGAAGATRTSCTTGTGATRGATTTAGCATTCCTTCTGATGTAACCCAAAATCTTGTTGGCGCGAGCAGCTTGCTCATAAACTTGCTTGTTCCAGGACAGATCGCTGGATACTGAAACGCCAAGGTCGCGCTCTATCGTTGTAGACTCGATGACACAACCAGATACCTGGTAACTAGCGGTTATTGGGCTTCRTTTCYTAGTGATGGTTTGGATCTTGCATTTKGTCTCGYTGAACGACAGCCCGGATGAYGCAGACMATGCTGACAGACTATCGAGGTCCTCCTGAAGTGATGAGCAGTCGTCAGTTGTCCTGATCTCTTTATAAATCTTTGTATCATYCGCGAACATCGCAACCTCGCTGTTCTTCACGACACTTGGGAGACTGTTCACATAAATGAGGAAGAGAGMGGGTTCCAAGATTGATCCCTGAGGGACTCCAGAAGTGAGTATACTAAAAGTATACTAAAACAATTACACTGGCTASCTATCAAGTTCAGAATCGAATTCAAAATCCTCGTCCTGGTGTTCAAGGACTTACATAATATGGCACCTGAATACATTACTGAACTTTTTTACTCAATTACGATCAACGCAACGAAATAATCTATCGATTCCCATTTCGAAGACCAAACCCTATGGTGATCGTGCATTTTCAGTAATTTCTCTCTCCCTTTAGAACTTAAAAACTGTGATACCTTGAGCAGTTTTAAATCCTTATTAAAGACATTTTTATTTTGTAAATGTTTCTAGTTAATTTTTGATAATATAGTTATTTTATATTGTATAAGTTATTCCATATTGCATGTATATTGTTATTCCATGTATATTTATTTAATTTTATTTTTTTCATCTTGTAAAGCATTGAAATTTTATATAATGCGCAATAAATTATTATTATTATTATTATTATTATTATTATTATTATTATTATTATTATTATTATTATTATTATTATTATTATTATTATTATTGGATGGGGCCGACTCTAAGTTAAATTAACACCAGCAGTATGAATTATATCTCTACTCTGGTTGTCTGTTAAACAGAAATTCGTTATTATTATTATTATTATTATTATTATACATATATCATATATATTTTTTTATCAATTCAAGTAGCCAGTTGTAAATTGCCTATACGTAGTGAGATTTTCAACTGTATGAATCTATAAACAAATAAAGTTTCCATTATTATTATTATTAAGTGCTGTACCAGAATGGTGTACAAGTAGTGTACAAGCCAGTGCACAAAAGATAGTCAGACTGAAGTGTCGAAGTAACGAAGTACTGAGAAACCCTAAAACACGAGAGTACTTAAGGACTGAAACTGAACTGAAGTCAAAGAACTGATAAGATATTGTCACACAATATCACTGAAGTATGAAGTTTCACACTGATCATGCTGTTGTAGTCAGAAAGACGTCATCGTTCAATTTTCCTGTTGCGTCCGCTTTAGTCAGAAGAGCAATCWAGTAAATAAATATGTGCCTATGTTATACGTCGAATGTACTGAATACAATTCATGTCAGATGCCGCTTACAAATCGTGAAATCGACACTTGTTGAATTATATAATCTACCACTGAAACCGCCGAAGATACAGCAATGCGGCAGTCGCATCGCACACGTGTCAAATCTAATGGTTCCTTTTTAAATTATTCGCCTATGCTATCCGCGCCATATTGAAAAACATAAGCGACCTATCGAAAGTGGGTTAGGATTTATACTATTCGCGTATAAATGTATTTCGCTGTGACCAAAAGGACATATAGGAATAGCCCTCATTGTTGTTTTATTTACGTACTTTTATTAACCGTTTTTACAACTAAAGATGTTATTTTAATAAACGAAATCGTTATTAAAGCCAAATTGACTTAATTGTAATGGGTAAAGTACAAAGTAAATAAATGTCGACTAAAATAAGAATTGTAATTGGCATATGTGAAGTTCGACGTATAACATAGGCCTAAATTTCGCAAAAAAATATTTTATTCCAATGTGCCAGTTCCAAGGGTGGAGATCATATCAATGAATGCCATTGTGCAACAGCACTGCGAGTAGAATGCAGCATATCATTCCAGTGCGCTAATCCTGACCCTGTGCTGTACATGTAAGGTCCAACTACGCATCTTCCAATCAGCTTCTTTTGTCCACCAAGTCTCGGTGCACTTATAACTGACAAGATAAAGCTAACACGACTGAGGCAAGTTGGTGGGATWGTGAATGAGAAGGCTTCGTTATAAAYTGGGCTATTTGATCTCTTGTTGACTGATGTTTTCTTCTTTTTGCAGGATTTCCCGCCCAGTACCATGGAGATTTTCACGTAAGCGTCTGAAAAGTGTAACCKAATTTTAGCCAAACGAAAGTACCTAGAGTTAAAACACTAAAAGCATGAAATAGGTAACTAATAAAAATAATAAAATCACGAAAAACAGTAAAAAAAGTCATATGAGAGTGAATGGTTTGAACACAGGTGTAAGGGATGTAGGTTTGAGAGGAAGACACACTTACGTTCCTTCTCAAGACTTCTCACACCCGGACAATCATATCACACCTACTTTAGTAATTTAATAGTGCTAAAATGTGTAGTTTATTTTTTTTTGGTTTCTATTATCTTATCTACTATGATTTCAATCTATATATCACTACTTTGTTAGTACTTTGACAGGGCCGTAGCCACCAATTTTCTGCTGGTTTGATTTCTGGAAAACAGGTGTGCGTATTTATTTACATGAAGTATTGATCCCCCGGGAGGGGTACTCGACCCCGTTTTGGATAGGTACGTGCCGCCAGCGGTCTAAATCCCTGACCCTGTGTCTTAAAAGACACTTAAAAGTGAAAATCCATACCCTGTTCAAGACAAATCGGAAAAATAAGGAATAGCTATCTACGCCGCAACCATCAAAACTGCAATTATACTGACATCCATCAAAGACAATAAGAAGTTTTTGATAACACGTTAATCCACGTCCCCGTATAGCAAATATATGGGAGAAC